CATTATTGGGAAACAGACGTCTGTCCGTCTAAATCGACATATAATTTTATTTCGATCAGGAATTTATGAAGTCTACGGTGAATATTTCGAGGTATTGCAAATGGAATGACAAATTTAATATAAATCTCTCAAATTCTTTAGAAGATTCTTAATCCAGTTGGAATACTGAAATCAAAGGAAAGACTATTTGTTTTCTTATATACCCCATTAAAGTGAGTTTTAGCTTCGCCTCAACTGTTCTTAAGCTTGGCAGGCTCAAGTTCTCATAATACACTGCATCTAAATAATCGATCTATAAAGTATTCACGTTTCAATTTTTTATGATTAAGTCATAATCGGATTAAGTAAAAAATATATATATATACATATATACAAGGAATTTGATCACAAATTTGTCCCAGTTTGCAATATTTCCATCATTGACGTCCCCATCTTATATCCGCACAAGACAACTAAAGGCATTAATATATGAATAAAGAATAATATTTGTACTCATACACATGAATGGCAACATTTGCCAGTGACTCTAATAACAAAAACAGCAAACAAATTACGAAAGTTCTCTTCGTGCCATCTTGGTTAGCTGTAAGGCGAAATAATACAAATCGAAGCAGAGTTTTGTGATCGGTGGAATTTGTTTTCTCAAAAAACCGATTCATCGGAAGAGAAATACACATTGAAATCTGCATTACTTCCAGTCAATCTACCCCATTTCTATTTGGACATCAGCATAATTACACGCCATTTACACAATTTGTTAGTTATATTTATTGACATTTCATACAATAGCAACCATGTGAAGATATATCGCACTATTCGTACGCATTCAACTAAAATACATTTTATTCATTCGTTCTGGGAAGTATGGATGTGTGTGTGTGTGTGCGAGAGCCTGACTTTTGTTAGTGTATGTACATAAATCAGTTGGTGTTTTTTATACTCCAATAGTTCACAGGGGTTTAGACAACGACTTCGAGTTGCAGCATTTTCCGTTATGGCTTTTGTATGGAACTGCGTTCGGTTTGGTTTTTTATTCGACTTAGAAGATGAGTGGCTGTGGCGATTCGTCCAAATCGTTTTTAGGTGGTTCATTTGTAACATCAGCTAATTGGGTTTAAAGATGCAGAAGGAAAACGAGAAGGAAAAAAAAGAAGAAGAGAAACCGGAGGAAAGTAATTAGTGCAATGACTTATTTATCTTCAGCTGTTTGTTTAATTGAAGCTATTTGGGAGTTTGTTGTAGGTTTATGGAAATACAGAGCAGATTAGCCTGGATTCTTACCCTTAACGGTGTAGTCTCCATTGGTAATGGTGTAGTAGATCGTTAGATATTTAGTTGCGTTCAATTTAAGTGTAAAATAGCCCTGCGTTACGGGAGATTCTACGGTAGCGGGAGGTACAACTTCGTTGCCCGAACGTTCATAAATCAAAAGGCCATTGTTGAGGCGGGCACTGTAAATATAAGATAAAAATTTTCTCACTCAATTATAAATCAAAAATCGACCAATATTTTAACCTTGCTTTATATAGCCCTCTCGAAAGAAATACCAAAATATCTTTAAATATTACATATTCGAAAATGCACATACACCCATACATACCTCACTTCTTTTTCACCATTTAAATTTAACGTAACCTTCTGCTGCAATATCTCCAATGTATCTTGGGCTTTCTGATTTATGGGAATAACACCCTCACAACGGCATCGGGACACTTGTCCTATTGGACACTGATTTTGTTGAGTTTGGGGCAAACCCAAGCCTGGCAATAAACCACCCAAGTTTAGGTTGCCCAACCCGCCGAGATTACCCAAGCCTCCTAATCCTCCCGAACTGCCACCACCTCCCAATAAATTCAGGGGGATCAATGACTGTAGAGTACTGCCAAGACTTCCCAGCAGATTGGCTGGGATCAATGCTCCAATAATGGGCAGACCCTGCAACGGTGGTGTCTGAGTCGGTGCGGGTGTCTGATCATTATGTATGGCCGATGTCATGGTCATTTGCCTCTTCTCTCGATTTGGACTTTCTGTAGGCGTTCCTCCACAGGTGACAGCTAAACACAGCAGTACAATTCCAAATGTTTTGTATCCGAACTCCATTCTTCTACCGTTAGGATGTCGTGATGCTGTTGAACACTCTTCCCGTCAACAGATAAGCATTCCCTTATATAGACCTGCCATAATCCCAAATCATCCGCAGTCTCCACAGAGGACATGAAATGTAAATGAATTGAAGGAATTTTACGATAGTTTTTATGATTATTGTTTTATGCCTCCATAAATGAGTTCGATTGAGGTGTTGGGACCCATGAATACGGGATGGGATGGTTGCTAAAGTTTTCAAATCTCATCTTGATTGAATTTGATTGTCGCATGTGTTTGTTGATTGCATAATAAAAATTTAAGTGTTGTCTTCTCATGGCCGAAGCATTTAGTCACAGCCCAACCAGCATCCGTTTGTTGGCATGGAAATGCCAGGCATGCCTTCGTTTTAGCAGGACCACACTGACTACCTTGCAGCAGTCGTTTCAATGTGGAGCAATACTCAGTCCCTGACAATTCTTAAAAATATTTTCCCTGCGTATTTTTCAAAAAACAAAATTCTTTAGAAATCCATAACAAAAGAATCAAAGTAATAATGTCTGATAAACAAGGACCAAGAATAAAAAACAACAACAACTAGAATAAGAATAAGAAAAGCTCAAAAACAAAAACAAATAACGTCAGTGGGTATCATCATCATCATTGGCCCAAAACGAAGAAAGAATGAAGAACTTTATTTTTTTGGCAGTGCAAATTTGGGACAGCCAGAATAGCAAACACACATTGGGCGATGTTGTTGAGGAAATATAAAGGTGTTGTATAAGAAATATATATTATTTTATTCTAGGTCGGCTCTATTTACATCACGAAGAGAGCAACATATTTTACTCAAAATTTCCACATCACAACATTTTTCAAATTTTGATGAAGATCGAATATCGGACCACCACCTCCACCCACATGATTGTCTCCTGAATATATATCTATAATAAAGGTGGATAAAAATAGGTTTTTGCCAGTTGGTTATAATCAGACATTTTAATTTTTAAGGATTTTGTTACTTTATTTACAGGGGTTCTGCAATATGTTAGTGATCCGTTTTTATACCATTTACCACACTGTGGTACAGGGTATTATGTCTTTGTAACAGTCAAAAAAGGAAATGAGACAGACGCATGGTTCCTTTTCTGAATCGATTTATGCAGGACCGTGTGTCTGTCCATTTAAAATTGTAAACAAAGTACAGGTCGTATTCATTATCCAAATTAAATGAAATTCAGCACAGGTAATTTATTTGGTCCGATTTTATGTATATAGTACACCAAACTCCCACGGTTTTTCCTATTGAGGTAGCATTTGGCATAACGTATGGGATTGAGTCTGGGATGGAGTGTGTTTAGTTTCCAAACTCCCAAGGTTTGTCCGATTAAGACACAATTTGGAATAACATACTGTATTGAGCCTAGAATGACGTGTGTTAAGTAACGTTGAAATCGGTTCAGATTTCTACAGATATCTCCCAAATATATTTTTGTTCAATTTGTTGCACATAATACTCAATATTTACAAAATTTTTTTTCGCATTTATTATCCTATTGACATACAATTTTTCAAGCATAGTCCTGCAGAAAATGGTGAAAATTGGTCCAGATTTGAATACCGTTTCCGGTACATTCAAAATAAAAAAAACTAACGCTATATAAGTCTGATATATGATAATCTAAAACAATATGTACCACAATTGGGTAAAATCAGTTCCCATAGTCCCAATATGTTATATAGTCCCAATATCTTACCAATTCATTTTTTAAATGTACTAAAATTTCATTGGAGAAACAAACATTTTTTTTATTTTTTAGCCTGAAACATTACTGGAGAACGATTTCAGGATAAGTTTTCACATTTCTCAAAAACATTTATATTTCATGTACCTTGTAGAGGAAAACATAGATTTTTCGTAACGGCGCTAATATGCGCAATATTTTCTTATTGGATCTGATAATCTAGAGATTTCATGGTAAATATGCACCAGGGATTGCACGATGTGGATGGTCCTCCAGAGATACTATGTTACTGAAATATAAGGTTATTTAAAATAAGACTTTTTAGTAGTTTTAAATTTCGGAGCATTTAGTATTATTCTGTACTTCGGTACTTCGTATTAGAACACAACATTAACGTTTTTAACTTGTGTTAGTGCCAGAGTTTTAATTTTTGCAATTCTGATATATTTTCACCAACAACACTTTTGTAGAATATCAAAGTTTGTTCCCAATGTTATTTTTCCCCCCACTGTTGATAACATTCCAATAATATCCACCAACAATAAAAACAAAGTTTAAGTGAATATGTTTGTCTCCCGTTGCCGTTGCTGCTGCTACTGCTGCGACGTAAACAAAGCATTTGTAAGCCGCTAACAAAACAAAGAACATAGCACAGAGACAAACAAGTTAATACTCATCGCACTGGGCTAAATGTGACGAACTAAAGCACTTAGAGGGAGGTGGGAACAAATATTGCTCTTGTTTGTTATTGTTCGAATGCATATAAATACCTGTGCAATCACAAGCTATGGACATTTTTCTGGATACCACATCCAGCATTTGCATACCACAAGGCCAGAACGAGGACGACAATAACAACAACGTTGATGAAGATGGGATTATTTTCCAAAATCCAAGTGCTGTTAATATTCATTGGGATACATGCCATGGCTGTGGCACTGGCGAAGCCCATCGAAGAGGTACAGCTCCATCATCGACATCACTTTGTTTACATTGTTCGGAAAACAACATCTGGGAAATAAAGTTTTTCGTTTTCGTTTTTCCAAACAGTTTTCCTAGTTGCTTTGATAACATTTATTGATATTTTGGCAGTAGTTGATTGTGAATTCCTTTGTTATTACACAGAGAGGAGATATGGTAATCGGAGATACCCAGCCTATCTATGAATACCAAATGGTGGTGTGGCCAACGGACCTGGATGATGATGATGTTGTCGACACTTTGGACGACGAAGTCGAGGGGGACGATGTAGCTGTGACGACGACGAGGCCATCAATTGTAATATCTGGAGTAGGCTCGGATAAATTGGATACTGATGCACAACCACCTTTAATGGATGCAGACGAGGAACCCGTAGAGACTGTACATGTTTTGGAAAACTATCATCACACATTTGCAAATGGGACGGAAGAAATCAAGTAGGACGTTGATGGGCACCATAAGACCTCACCTTATTTTCGTTATTCTTTTTCGTGTGTTTGTTTGTTTTAGATTGGTCATGAGCAATGGTCTCGTGAATTATCAGCGCCTACATCTGAAGGAAGTTGATGATGAGCTGCTTCCGATACAAGATGGTTATTTTACTGTACCCATCCCGGGATTGCCTATAACATTCCAAACCACGTATTATCATGCAGATGAGAACGGATATAATGTTTATAAGAGTAGGTGTTTGTTTAGCATTTCTATTTGGATATATTTTCATTTGAACATACATACATATATTTATTCTTCTTATTCTATTTTTATTATTATTTTCTTCTTGTATTATTATTACAGCTGAGCAAACTCCACGCAATCCAGCACACGATATGTATTTGGACTATATTAAGAAACAACAGCAGCAATAGTATAATCAATGAGAAATCGATTCCAATTAGAAAATTCAATATCAATTAGCAAAAAATTACATAAAATATAAATAAATATCATCTGATATACAATTACACCCATACATATGTAATCATAACACTGTGCGACACGAAAATTTTTCAGGCGTTCTAATGTACCAATTCTGTTTAGTTGGAGTCCCTGGATCACGAAAATACCTTTGGTTTTTCTGGGTCACTTCGAAAATTAATTTTATAACGGTAAATATAGAGAAAACCGTGGTTTCATGGATTTTCCATTTGAAAATTGAATAACTTACTTACTTTATAACGGATTTATATTATTCTTTTTTTCTTTCGAGAGAGTACAATTTTTCCTTTAGCACACACAAGCAAGATATATATTTGGTAAATCGGTAAGTAAAAAAGTTACAGCGGTTGAATTGTGAAAAAATACGCATAAAATGACAACATTTATTTTTCTTCGAACTGTACGATGAAATTATGATATGAAGCCATATAAGTTTTATTATATTACGGGGAAGAAAATTAAATTAGCTTTCGAAAATGATAAAAATCAAAAAAATCGGTTTTGTGCGCTTCTTATCCAATTTGAAAAATGGATGTTGTATACACATTTTTTTCATTGGATTCGCCTTCGTCTAAAGGAACTATGGGTTATCTCGCTTTTATATCCTTTTGCCTGTTACAAACATAACGGTTTGTAACAGGAAACGCTGCAGCTCAGAGCCATATTTCCTTTAGAGAATATGCATAGAATCAATACAAAAATGTGTATAAGTCATCCATTTTTTAACCGATTTTTTTGATTTTTGGAAACACAAAGCGCATTATAAGCAGAAAAAAGTTTAGTGTGGAAACTTCCATCTCTGTTATGAACACATGTTAAATGTTTGTTTCGATCTGGAGTTCATATAGAAACAAGTGTTCAAAAAAGACGCATCCGCAATTTTTTTACAATTGAAAAATTAGAAATGCATTGTATATATTTACACGAAAAAGTTTTATCGGGACAAGAAATGCATAATGATATGGTGAATGTGTTAGGTGAAAGTGCTCCTTCATATGCAATAGTAAAAAATTGGGTTGCTGATTTTAAACGTGGTCGTACAAGCCAAAGTGCATGATAGAAGAGTAAAAGTGCATGAAATTGCTAATATTGTGGGCATCTCAAATGTTCGAGTCCATTTAATATTGCATGAAGAACTACAGATGAAAAAACTATCTGCAGGATGAGTGCCGCATTTGTTAACGTATTTTTTTATTTCATCGATCAATTTTTCTTCTATTTTATTATTAAGTCGTTAAAAATGTCCACAATCATTGAAAATATGGTTTTTTTTAACAGCACTGCTATATGTTTTGATATAAATTTCCATTAAACTGTTGGTACCACTGCTGATTTTTACCTAAAATATGGCAAATTGAGAGCAATAGAGAAAATTTGAGTATGACGCTGAACAAACATGAATAAAATCTATTCTAGCGCCAAGCCGCTAGACGCTAACGTCAGCCTTCGAGATTTCGCTTGGCAACGGGAAAATCTCGAAGGCTGAAACACACAGTAAACGACCGTTGCCGACTCTAGACTCTCTGGTTGTGTTTAGACTCCTATTCTCCTGATTTAGCTCCCATTGACTTTTACTTGTTCCCAAATCTAAAAAAAATCATTGCTGCAAGCGTTTTACTTCAAATGAAGATGCAATTACAGTTGTAAAACAATATTTTGAAGAACTTGAGGAAAACTATTTAAATCAAGGGATAGATGTGCTAGAAAGGCGTTGAACTAAGAGTATTGAAGTTTCAGGAGATTATATAGAAAAATATATGTAAATATTTTTGAAAAACTAACAATTCTCTTTCATTGATAGGCTAAGAAGTTTCCGAACCGCCCTCGTATCTCGCATTTAATTCATATTAATAAGACAATGTTATTCCACCCAAACAATAGCAATGCAATTTCTATATTTTATATTGGAGGGTATAGACAAATTCTATTTCCGTAAAACATAACATTTTAAATGGTACCATTTTATGAATTGTCAAAGTTTAAGGTATATTCACCAAATGCCAAAAAACTATTTATACATGAAACTACAAACTCCAAGACATTTTAGTAATGAAATCGAAAAATTAATTGTCTGCCAACGTGTGCAAGTTGTCAAATTTTAATATCTCCAATATATTTCCAACAATTTTTTATTAACAAAAAGTGTCGTTACCGAGTTCAAAAATATTTGGTTTGTTAATATTTTATATTAAGATGCGAACGAACATTTAGTTGCATTAAAACAATGTACGAGTTGAGACACTTATGAGCGTGCGGTGGATGTGCGGATGCCAGTGAATATTTGAACATGATACTAATTTCACACATCGCCATTTCACACTCACAAACATAACAGCAACAACAAAGTTCAATGGCTCAGTGCAGTAGAATTTTCATTACGATAAGTTTGGCGAAGATCATAAATGTGCGCCACTCCGAAGTGTTACGGCGGTAATAAATGGCAGCAGAACAAAACGCCCATAAACCGTTTGCCGCAAACCAAACCAAATCAAACCGAGCCATATTCAGGCCAACATCCCCAACATGTTGTTATGACTGTGCATTTGTGTGATTGCTGTTTGCATGAATGAATGAATATTCTAGCAAATCAAGCATTTTTTTCCAAGAAAATCCCCCTGCATATATCAGGACTGTGAAATAGGCAGTCAGTCAGTGGGGCCGACTGGCAGACCAAAAAGACAGACAACAACCTGGCTACACATCTTCAAAATGAATTCATATTTGCGAGAATGGTTGTTGTAGTTTGCATTGCCTGCTGTTGTCGGTGTGCTTGTGTGTGTTTTGTTTTTATGTTACAAGATATGAAATTTTATGTGGTCGTGAGAGTTGGAATGAATTCTAATCTAAAGAAACTCCTTTTACGGGTTCATTTTAATAAATAATTCATATGACTTCCTTTCTGCAGGAATACAAAGGATGCGCACACACACGCACACAGTTGGACTTGTAGATCTAAATGCGGTTGTTGGCATGTTTGCAACATAAACTCGCTCCGCAAAATAATGGCTGAGTGGGAGGGTGGGTGTGTGAATGCGTGTCGATGTGGCAACGGGGGAGTAAATCATTCTATGCCACTTGTTGTTTGGGCTATGAACAAGCTAATGCTTACACGCTTGTTGTTTGGTAAACACGCAGTTGTCGAGGTTTTTGAGTTCGTCAGGGTTTTGAAATTTAGAGTTAATCTGTATCGAATTTGATGTTCGTGTAAAACGATTTATTTTTATGATTGTTTTAGTGAGTCAGTATTTGAAAGGAACATACACTTGTGTTTATATCGGTATGGAATATTTGTTTGTATCAAAATTTGCATATACATATTTGTATCACGTGCAGTCGGTCCATTAGAGTCGGTTTGGAAGTTGAAATATCAAAATGTTATGGCCCAAGGACTAATTGTCCTTTAATTACATATATATATATATATATATACATATACACTAAAATCTCTGTAATCCGGGAAATTGATGGCAGACCCCAATACGTATTGCCAAATTTCCTGGATTATCTAGGTTTTTAAATTGGTTTAAATTTTTATTAATTTAGTGATAATATAATATTTTTTTGTAAATCACACAAAAGAATTCATTGCAAAAATATAAACTTTGAAAATAGTAGATAAAATTTTTACTAAAATATATAAAGTTCAATGCTGATAATTCGAACTGTGGTTTCGAGCCATGCTACGATTTTGATAAAAAAAAAATACTCATAAAATGTAATGTATGTACAAACATTCCGACTTATAGAATGTAGTTCAGATTACTAGATATTTAGATAATTCCATCCTATCGGTTTTCTAACTAAGTTCTTCGAAATGCGTAAAATCCATAGACTAACTATGTTATGAGCAATCACATGTAAACCGTCTATAATATGATTTAAAAAACAATATAAACAATTTGTTATAAAACCATTCAAATTAAAAAGAATCGATCACAGCATCGGTTAAATATATACACGTCAACTTGTTTTAAATCGATTTGTATAAGCAAATGTCGAACATCATATTGTGTTCACAGGAGGATATCTCCTGCATCATATTTGGCCATATGGGTAAGGGTATACAAATATATGTTTTACGAACATTTTATCATTCATCTTTTCATACAGTGCCACATATATGTTTTTCTTCATGCGCTTTAGAGTTTTACCAGCAAAAAATTCATCTAGCCATAAGTCAAAGGCGAATTTTTCTTATGAATTCATAATATACTGACTAAGGGCATGCATTCCCACAAGGAATTTTCCATCCTTAAAATCTTCATAATAAATATGAAATTATTTGGTTGATAATGAACAATAATATCAGCTGGCCTTTCATGACATTTTGCACAAAATAACGATATATCCACGGTAGCCTCACAAATTTTGTCTTGGAATCACTAAATCGTCGCAATATCCCGAAATTTACCACCAATGTATTTGTGTTGTGATCCGACAAAATGTTTTACGAACTTTGAGAGCAAACTTTTCGCCCGTTTTTGTTGGTCGGCTTGGTTGTCGAAAATTCGATTCGGCCTTTCAATATCTAACCAATAAAAATTTGCATTGTAATAATCGTTCATAAGGAATTTTGAACTTCTTAATCATTAATTGTATGGTATAGCTCTCATAAAAATATTCGGCCTTTCCCTTTTTGTAGATTTTAAAAACAAATGTTTTTGTTTGTCTTTTTCAGACTTGGAGAAATCGTCGTCCACAATCCAATTGAAACGTACATATATTCAATTTGTTTATGTTCATCTCTCAGCCGAACCCATATTATTTCGATTGTATTTTGTGCTGATCCCTACCAAAGACAACACTTACTTTCAGTTTTCGTATTAAATATGCTAATTTGCTATTGAAAATCGAAAAGCAGCTTCACTTTTGCGTTATGCCGAATTATCATTTCAAATTTTCGAACTTATCATTTTTGATTTGATACGCT